TTGGAGATGTCTCATCTACAGGGTAACCATGAGTTGGGATCAACTCAAAGGCAGTTGGCAACAACAACAACAACAACAAAATTCACTGTGGCAAATGAATGTATAAATATGTTTCGGGGAGGGACAGAAGAATCTACTGAGCAGTAATTGGTGTATTTAAATTGTGACTGATACTCAGCTATTTGGCTCCCCCAGAATAGTATTGTTAACAATTGTTAAGACGATAGATCACAAAATTGTTCAACAGCTCCTAGAAATATCTATAGTGAAATGTTGGCAGTGCTAAGGTTCATAGCTGTTAATAGTTGGCTGGTAATTTGGTAAAGTCCAGTTAAGATTTTTTAAAAGAAAAAGTCAATCGAGGACAGAGTTAATATTAAAATATACTTTAAATGGAGTGGCATGTTTTTAATGCATTTTTTGAAAGTTAACAACTAAGAATTACAAAAGCCAGTTATGTATGTGGACTACTATAATTGTGGTAGATAGGAATAATTTTCAATAATTTATTTAAAAAATTCAAAACTTGTTCAGTGGTAGTAAATGTGTTTAGTGAGTTATTAATATTGAATGTTATTTTTGTTTTATGATTATCTTTTTAAAAAATTGGTGTCTTTTGGTTCCAATATCCCTCTTATATAGTAGAGAAGTTTCAAACACACATAAATACACAGAGTGGTGTAGCAGAGACAAAGCTCACAGTGTCAAGGTCCCCAAACCTTTTGATTAGCAGAGATAATAACACAATTTGCCACAGAAGACCTGATCCTGGTGGAGATAAAAGCTGCTAAAAGTGTTTTTGTCTATGCATATTATATGATATCCTTTGCAGTATGACAATGGAGTATCTCAGAATGGGTGCTTACATTCATAGGTGGGTGGTCAAGGTCATCATAAAGCAAACAATAGGATGAATTGACAACTTATAGTACATTTTGTGAGCAGTGCTTCAGTGTACTGTGTCAGTTGGCTTGACTGCCTACCTATGAAGGTTGCATCTACACTGTACAAATAAATGATGTAGTTGAACTCCACTTTAACTGCCATGGTTCCATACTACAGAATCCTGAGATCTGTAGTTTATGAGGCACCAGTACCCTTTGATAAAGAAGGCTAAAGACCTTATAAAACTACAAATCCCAGGATTCCATAGGATGGAGCTACATCACTAAGTGGTGTCAAACTGCATTATTTCTACAGTGTAGATGCACCCAAAACATTCTATAGGTGGATATGTAAAACTTGCTGTCCTTAGCCTCAGTTCCCACTTTGTAAAAGTAGGAAGTATTAGTTATCTACCATCAAAGACTTCTACAGGAGAAGACAAGATAAATGTTGTGAAGCACCTTAGAAGTGGAATAGACATGATAAAATAATATGTTGTTTTTAAAATGATTAGGGAAAGAATTTTGTTAGGCATTAGGTTTGATTTAACTTAACAAAGTGTTTGCAGTCATAATTAAGAGGTATATTAAGCCTGGCATCAATTAGACAAATTGATGTGAGCATCTGATTGGGTCCTGAGAGGGTTAGATTTCTCCCAGCTGTGAAAGAGATCATTTTGAAAGAGGAAAGGATAATTAGTAAAATGGCAGGTTCAGCTGAATGAATATGAGTGGGTGAGTTTTTGAACTTTGACAGTCTGAGGTCGATGGCTCTGGCATCTAATTGTGTTAAGGAAATATTTTAATTTCTTATTTGCTGGAAAATTGAAGGAGTGCATTATTCTGAACTGTCTTCAAAAACTGTCCATATTTTCTTTTAGCTAGAATGGCTTGGAAGAAATGCTAGAATGGCTTGGAAGAAATGCTTCTCCCAGGAGAAGCATTATATGAGGAACAATTCTGCAGTCCAGAAATACCATACAGCAGAGCTTCACCTAAATTGTACCACTTGTGCAATTTTATCACTTCATACTGCAAAACAGAGATTCCATATTTGAATGATGTTCCTATCTTAAAAGAAATCATGTTCAAAGATGTGCTATGTCTTTGGGCATTGTCTTGAAACAGATTATCTTGAACAATTTCAGTATGGTTTCTAGTCAGTGTTTGAGAGTGGAACAACTCTTAACTGTTTTGACTGGTGCATGATCTGGGTGAGAAATAAGGAGAGTCCTGACCTGTTGTTCTTCCTGGATCTCTTGGTGGCCTTTAATACCGTTGACCAAGGTATCTTATTGGATCAGCTCTGTAAGATGTGAATAGGAAGTACTGCTACTGTAGTTTTTGTCCAGTTCCATAGTATGACTTCTGTTCCGCCCTATGACTATTAAACTCTGGGGTACCAGAGAGTTTTCATTCTATTCCTCATGCTGTTTAATATGTATATGAAGCTACTTGCAAGGTTAGGAGTTTGGTGGTGGGGAACTATTAGTATGCTGATGACACTCAGCTGTCCTTTTCCTTGTTGTTGGGGCTGTGTAGATGCTGGATTGGTGCCAATATGTGATAATGGGATTACTGAGGAGTTAATCCCAACAAGTATACTAAATCCTAACAATCCATAGATTGGTGATTTTTAGAAATGGAAAAAATGAGTTGCTCTAAAAGGGGTTGCACTCCCCCTGAAGAAGCAGGTATGTAAATTGGAACTATTCCTAATCCATCTTTGTTATTAGGGATCCAGGTATACTCAGTGGTTTGGAATGCTTGCTGTCACAGCTATAACCCTTTTGGACAGAAATAGCCTGGCCACACTAGTTCATGTACTAATGGTTCCTTGATTAAAGGCAACCTTTCCCCTTTAAGGGCCGAGGGACTTCAGCTCCCAGAAACCTCAGCCATGTTGGCCAATAGTCCCATGTTGGCCAATAGCTCCTGGGATTCTGGGAGCTGAAGTCCCTCGGCCCTTAAAGGGGAAAGGTTGCCTACCCCTGACCTAGTTTGTTGAGACCTTACAGAAACTATGACATCAGTTTGAAAGGAATTCATCTGGCTTCCAATATCCTAGACTGAATAAAAAGTGATGACATTTTAAAGCCGGGTATTTTGATTCCAGGACTTAAGCAGAGCAGTGGAAGACAGGGAGTCTTGGAAATGTCTCATCCACATGTTGTCATGAGTTGGAATCGACTTGAAGGTTGTTAACACAACAAATAGGTTGAAGTTGCTTCTCTCCCTATATAAACCTCTTAGAGCTTTGGGATCTGTGAGCAATATATTACATGGC